GGAGGTGAAGCGCGAGCTGCTGCGGCGCGGGCTGGAGTGCCCCGAAAGCCTCTGGAAAAGCCCCCAGGCTGAAGAAGTCCAGGGGCTGCTGTCAGCAGCAATTAAATTTGTTTTTGGACTTTCAATGACACAAATCCGAGTTGAAGAGGCAGCGGGGGAGGCCAAGGCTGCTGCGCCCGACAGGTCGGCTGCTGCTACTGCTGCTGCTGCTGCTGCTGCTGCTGCTGCTGCTGCTGCTGCTTATTATTTATCGTTTATTATTTGTTCTTGCTGCTCAGCCGCCCCTTCTTGACTCTGGAGGGCCGCACCCACCTGAAGGGCATCGGGAACCTTCGCTGGTTTCGCTACTGCCAGAAGCTAGCCAAGTGCAAACCCTAAACCCTAAACCCTAAGGCCCAGGCCCTTTGTTACGAGCTAGCAAGTGCAAACCCCAGCCCCCAAGCTTGCTTGGCTTCCTAAACCCTAAAGTCTAAACTCTAGACCCTTCTGGCTGCCAGAAGCTGGCCAGCTGCAAACCCTAAACCCTAAACCCTAAACCCTTTTGCACCGCCGTGAGCGGCGTCCTGCGTCTTTCCACTTGCAAATTGCATCTCCATCTCAGCATTAATTGATTTTAAATAAATAAATAAATAAATAAACATTTATTTATTTATTTGTTTATTTATTTATTCGCAGGGGAGTGCTGGGGTTGGCGGACTTCAGCAGAGCCTTTGTCTTCTCCCCCACCCCACAAACTGCGCTACGGCTGTCTGCTGCTCTTTGCTGCTTCCTAGCTGCTAGAGATGCTGTTGCTGCTGCTGCGCTGCCGCTGGCTGAGGCGCTGCAGCAGCACCAGCTGGCAGCAGCAAGGGCGGAAGACGAGGTGCTGCTGCTGCTGCTGCTGAGGCTGCTGCTGCTGCGGCTGCTGTTGCTGCGGTTGCTGCTGCTGCAAGGGGTGCTGCTGCTGCGGTTGCTGCGGCTACGGTTGCTGCTGCTGCTGCGGGAGTTGCTGCTGCTGCTTGTTCCTGTGGATTAGAGGGAATGGGAGCTCCTCATGCGTATCTCTGCTGCTGCTGCTCTCGCTGCTGCTGACGCTTCTCTGCTGCTTTTGCTGCTGCTGCTGCAAGATCTTGGCTGGTTTTTGGGTTTCTCTTTTGCTGCAGCTGCGCCAGACAGAGCAGCAGCTGCAGCAGCTCAAGGCCGACAGAGACGCTCAGCAGCAGCACGCAGCTCTTCTCCACAAAGAGCTGCAGGCGCTACGAAACAGTACGAGCTGCTGCTGCTGCTGCTGCTGCTGACATCACTGCTGCTGCTCCTTATTTGGACGCAGCTGCTGCTGCTGCTGCTGTTGCTGCTGCTGCTGCAGCGGTGTCTTCGCTTGAAGTGGAGCTGCGCAGCACCGAAGACAAGAGGAGCCTGCAGCAGAAGCAGCAGCAGCGTCTACGGCAGGAGCTGCAAGAAGCAGCACAAGAGCTGCTGCGGCTGCAGCAGCAACGGGAAGATTACATGGACCAGATCGTACACAGCCCAAACAAAGTAAGAGCTGCTGCTTCTGCTGCTTCTGCTGCTTCTGCTGCTGCTGCCTCTGCTGCTGCTGCATTAGCTGCTGCTGCTACTGCATTAGCTGCTGCTGCTGTATTAGCTGCTGGAGGCGCTTCAGCTGCTGCTGCATTCTCTGCTGCTGCTGCTGTTTTAGCTGCTGCGTTTGCTGCTGCTGCTCTTGCAGTTGTTGCTGCAGTTGCTGTTGAGAGTGCTGGTGCGACATGCGTTGCTGGGGGCACTGCTGCTGCTGCATGTACCTTGGCTGCTGTTGCTGCTGCCTTCGCTGCTGTTCCCGGTGCAGCTGCTCTGTTTTTCGCCGCCGCTGCTGCTGCTTCTGCCTTTGCTGCTGCTGTTGCTGCTTCAACTGCCTTCGCTGCCGCTGCTGCAGTTGCTTTGACTGCTGCTGCTGCTGCTGCTGTTCAGCTGAGACAGAAGCGGCTGGAGCTGCAGGAGGAGCAGCGAAGACAAGACACGCGCCTGAGCAGCCTCAGCAAGCAGCGGCAGCAGCAGCAGCTGCTGCAGCAGCAAGTTGCTCGAGCCCTAAAGAAGGCCCTCAAGGCTGAAAGAATACTAACAGAACACCAGCACAATCACTTAGAGGTAATCCTCATAAGCCTACAGGAGCCCCCTTGGGGGCCCCTCTAATAAACCTACAGGGGCCCCCATGGGGGCCCCTGTAATAGGCCTACAGGGGGCCCCCTGGGGTCCCCTGCAATAAGCCTACAGGGCCCCGCCCGGGGGCCCCTGCAATGAGCCTGCAGGGGCCCCCTGGGGGCCCCTGTAATTGAACTCCAGGGGCCCCCCTGGGGGCCCCCGTAATAAACCTACAGAGGCCCCCTGTAGGTCTATTAAAGGGGGGGCCCAG